GAAATCAAGAATCAAGTAATCATAAGAGTTTTTATAATGATGCGTGCAGTTCCAAGGAGAGCAATCTTCTGTACATCTGTGATAGAGATGTCCCCTTTTAAATGGTTGACATATTGTTCTAGTTCTTTGTGAATTAACCCCAGTGCCCCAATGACAATAGGTATGGTTTTTGTTTCCATACCCCACATATTTTTAATTTCTATTTCTAGATCTTTGTACTTTGAGAGTTTTTCTACTTGTTTTAGAGGCACATTTCGTTCTGCTGGGATTGACACGTCTATCAAGGAACATCGTTTCTCTGCTTTGTTTTTCACTATAATGTCGGGTCTATTAGCTGTGATGGTTCTGTCCGTATGTACTTGCATGATTGTTGCTGTGTCGTTGCCCATTACTTTTTCAGGTTCATGCTCATACCATTTTATGCAGACAGTAAAGAATGGATCATAAGTAGCGTGCATCCATCGAGTTATGGATGCACGCGGGAGGTTGCTAAGCACGAAGAAAATCGTAACGCGAAGCGGAGTGCAACTCTAGCTTTTTTGAGTAGCTAAATGACCTCATTTGTTGTCAAAAGCAATACTAGGAAAATATCGATGAAAGCGGCATTAAAAAATCGTCGAACGACCTTTTTCTAAATGAAGTCACTAAAAGATGTATCTTTTAAAAAAATACTCTCCTTTAATTTCATATGCATTGAAGGGTTTTAAGACAGTCAAATAAAAATAAGTACGCTAACGACTAACAGCACACGATAAGGAATAACACGGAAGTCAAGCGTGAATAATCAACAAGCAGCCGTGAGCGAAAATAGTTGTGAGCGTACTTATTTGTATTTTTTTATTTATTATATTCTATTGTTTCAGAGACATAAGTATTGCACTTGTAAATAAAGGGGGAAAAATCCGCAAACTTCCGTGGTTAAGCAATCGTATTTAAGCATCTTTTACATCCTATTTAAGCACCTTTACATTCTGCATCTCATTTCATATCTCTTTTTTTTTATTAAAATAAACAAACATTATTATCTCATGATCCAGTGATTGTTTATGTGATGCAATATCTATTCCAATCACTCTCGTCGTAAACGAATTCAGCTCATAGCCCCTATGTGCTCATGTAAGACTCGAGTTCGTGGGATAACCATCCATCCAACATCACACACTTTTATTCATCTGTCGATAATATGGCTAATTATTTGTCCGCTCTTTTTTTTGAAGCCTTTTGCCTAGAATGCTATTCGTGCAAGTCACATGTTTCATGGGAGGACTGTGAAGAAAACAAAGCAATAGTGGTCTGCTCAGATCCATCATTGGATACCTGTGTTAAAGCTCACCGCGCCTTTGTTCAGCTGAACGGACAAGCAACGCAACGTTTTCAAAAATATTGCTTTAATTACGGCGACTGCAACAAGAAAAGCTGTATGGATACCAACGAGGTAAAGAAAGGAAGCTGGTGTGAAATCGAATGCTGTAACACAACACTGTGTAACACCGGTGTCACGCCATTGGCAAGAAAACGTAATGGGAGTGGGAGTCACATGGCATTTGCTTCAGCCAATCAGGTTGTTATCATGATGTTGATTGCTTTAGTATTTGTGTTCTAGCTGGTTAGCATGCAGTTACATCATCAAGCATGCGCAGGTTGAGATGATGAATACTCGTTACCAGTTCCTTTCAAGAGACTAAAAAAATCATCTTAAAAGTGTGTATACCGCTGTTTACCTTAAACAAGAACTCATTTATTAAGAGTAACCTAATGGCGAAATATTCACAAATGCTAACAATATTAAACTAAATATTGTATTTTGATATTAGCTTTGTTAAGATCTTCATGTAAAGCATCGTGGACATTCCGCTAAAGTTATGTTTTTTGGCAAAATAGAGCTTATCTTATTGAATCTTGACATTTCGTCAAATTGTACCATTAAAAGAGAAAAAGTCCTTCAAAAATGCGTGTCGTTTGACATTTTTAGTGAATGTCTTTTTTTTTTTTTTTTTTTTTTTTTTTTTTTTTTTTTTTTTTTTTTTTTTTTTTTTTGTCATTTTTGCTAACATTTGCCAGTTCATGCCAAGAGCATATCTTTTTAAAATATCTAATTTAGCCAATCATAAAACATTTCCAGACTGGAACTGCAGATGCTGTTGCACAAAGTTTGGTGAGCCACTTTACAATAGCATTACTGGCACAGAAATATCATGAAGCTATTTAGCAGTTTGATGAAAGATTATTGATTGTCATTGATTGTGGTGCTCTGTACTTCGAGAAGCTTGTTATTAATCTATTATATAGCTGCCTTAGGCAATAAGCAAATTCATTCTCTCCCAGGGAGCTTATACGCTATAAAATGAGGTGTTTGGTACCACTTTCAATCGACATAATAAGAATAATGAATCATTGTTTTCAGACTTCAATGATTCATTGTTCGGAACAATTACAGTAAAAATTAATGTTATATTTTTGAAGTCATTCATTATTAATTTGTTTGAGAAGCCAGATCAAAAACTCGTGATTCGTTTTCGTCAGGGTACTCCAAATGCCGAGAACCTGATGAAAGCACGACGTCGCTTGATCTACTAGGGTAAAAAACTTGTCAAAATACATCAAGTGGAACACATGTAGGGGTAAGGTTTAGTTATTTCTTTCTCGCTCCTGAAAAAATACCCATCGGCACAAAGAACGGGCAACATCAAATTTATATTACCCAGTCAAAGTCTCATGAAATGTAAGTTTTTTTTTATAACAAATCACTTACTGACCATCTGTTTTTTGATCCCTCAGTCACAGTCAATACCGGAAAAAAAATTACAGGCTGGATACTTCTTAAATTAACACGCCCTCCAACTAAGACTTAGAAATCCATATTTAACACCTAGTGTGAAATACACCTAGACAATTGGTTGCTATCAATAGACGTCGCTTCCGATAGCTCTTTTTTGATGGCTTGTAGAATCCTGGAGGTTGTTTTGATCTCTTGTTTTCTGGTTTGATGTCGTGAACATAGTCAAATACAATAGTTTGAGGACTTATTTTCATATGTTTTGACTTATCATCCGCTAGTTGCCCCCCAGTCAACCGCTTGTTTGCCCCCCAGTCAACTCCAAAAAGTCACGTGATTGATAGTAAGCAATTAATTCGTTAATCCTGCATTATGACCTTTTTCATCAATTTTCTCAGTCAGTCAGTCAGTCAGTCAGTCAGTAAATAAATAAATAAAGATACATACTCTGATACTCTGGACGAACAAGATCCGAAGTGTGACATGCAGACCTTCCAAACTTCAGGGGTATTACAAAAATCATAGGAACACTAGGACAGATAACTCAAATCAAGCGTTTCAAGGGTATGTTTGAATAGACGACTTGTAGTAACTTCGATTTTGACAGGTTGAGGAATCTGGACTTGGTTATCTTAGAGAAGAGAAAAATAAGAAGAAATCGATGGTAAGAAGAGACAATGCAAAAGCGAACTTTGTGCCTAAACGGGATAAATTATTGTTTGCCGTTCGCTTTATACATGTCCCAAGGGCCAAGGACTCGTTCTTTGGCTTAACGTGACATCATGGACCAAGAAAATAAAAACTTACGATCATTGTTGAATGCTATAAACTTGGTGATTTGATATGTTTTAGAGAGCGTTTCAGATCGTTTAGCCTTTTTGTTTCTGATCTGCGCAAATTTCATTTTTTGGCGAAATTCTGGCTATACGCCGATTACGTGTTCTAAAAGTATAAAAAGAAGAAGGCCAGGTGTTTATTTTTTTATTTTTGCATGTTGCATCTCAAGCACGAAATGCACTTTGGGTTGCTGTGAATGCAATCAGAGAAAGGTAGAATTTCAATGTGGAATTTTCCCAAACTTCGTATGCAAAGTTTTCCAGCATTTTTATTTTCTTTTTAGCTGACTATTTAATTTGCATATGATAGACAATAATAATTAAGTCAAGATTGGTATGCCACATGCACAATGCAACATGCAACAAAAGGTTCACTTATTTTGAAATAGCTAAATAGTAATAATAAATATAAATAAATATTAAGTAATCGGACATTGATCTCGGATCCCCATACAAATTCACTGACTTTAAAGATAAAATTTAGGTAGATTTCCTTAGTTAGCTCTCTTAACAGCAATAACATTGCAAAAAATTGCCCATACATTTGGAATATTTGCTCCGTCCGGTCTTTTTCCTCTCTTTCCAAAGCAAAAGATTGTTTTTAAAAGTAAAGTTATATAGCACAAGTAAACTGCGTGACATGAAAACATCCTAAATGACCCGTAAATCTACCGTAGTTAGCGTGTTTTCGAGGCTACGAAACCTAAGAAACCATAAGAGGCGAAGTATAAGATTATAAAATCAGCAAAAATACGGTTCTAAATTTTCACAAATTCCTATCAATTATATACCAAAATGTTCAGGAAAGCCCGGAGTTTTCAATTCCACTCCTGTTTTTTTCAAAGGTTCTGTTTTATATCAAGGAGGGCGATTTTCTAGTTTGACCCCGGTTATGTCATGCATTTTCTCTTGTAAAATACGTCCAATAGCGCCGGTACATTCAACTCAGTGTACGGTGTTTTTTTTCAATAGAATTCAATCTAAACAATATAATACAGTCCGTGAATAGTTGAATTAAGGTGACTGGACCCCCTCACGCTTGACCGCTACCTTCCACTTTTGGAACGCTATTGCATAAACGTCTTTTATCC